TATATCGCCCGTTTGTTCTGTTACACGCTGTATATCGCCCGTTTGTTGTGTTACACGCTGTATATCGCCCGTTTGTTCTGTTACACGCTGTGTATCGCCGTTTGTTACTCTTTATTTACACCATGTCCTCATTTATTGTTGTAAACTGAATGATTGTTACAGTCCTGCATCTCTGCACTCTGTCTCATGTTTTATGTTATAAACCTTGTCATTTAAATAACATTTAATGCTATGGAGTGCCGTTTGTGAAGTTACAGTCAAAAATTATCAGTAATATTTTGGTTTATTTAGCCTTTCATAAGAAAAAAAACTAGTTTTTGGTTTTTTTTGGGTCATATTTTCACCATGTCATTCATATATTTATAAATGTCATAGTTCCAAACTAAATATTTACTTTACACGCTCAAAATTTAGTTTACAAACTAAATACTTAACTTGCAAGTTAAATATTTAGTTAGCAACAGTCGCATTGTTAGACTGGGACTTCCGGGGCTGTTCCAATAGCCCCGGATCAAAATGAGTTTCAGTTCTATGTCATATAGGCTTCGCCCTTTAAGGCTGTCGCTGATGGGTTTATCCCGTTATGCGCAAGCATCATACTGAAAAAATTAGTCCACGCCCACCTGCTGTGTGGGCCCCACCCGATCCGTATAAGTTACATTAAGAGCGGGTAATCGGCTCCCATTTTTCTTCAGCAAGCTAACATAAAACAACTGACCTTTCAACGAGATGTCCAGCTCCAACACCATCCGCTTGTGTCCCTCCTGCAAGACCGGTTACTTGCTCAGCTTCGACCGGCACGACACCTGCGAAGGATGCCTGGGTCCCCGCCACGTCGCCCGCGCTTCCTCCTGCCGCCTCTGTGACGAGCTTCCACTGGAGGAAAGGCAGAGGAGAGCAGCCTTGTTTTAAGGCTACCATCGAGGACTGCCTGTCCGTGGCGGGAGACTGCTCGCTGGACGACGCCATGGATTTCTTCGACGCCGGCTCTCGGAGTGAATCGGATTATTCCTCTGGGACCGGTGACGTTAGCAGCAGCCCCGACGCTCGTTCCCTCCTGGGGAGCGCAGTGTTGGAAAGAGGGAGGCCGAGCGGATACTCGACTCCCCCAAGGTTTCCCGCCTCAACGGCCACACCGCTCCCTGCCGTCGGCGCACTCCTCTCGGAGCTGCCCGCCATTATCCGGGAAGCTGCTAACGTAAAGGGGCTCTCCGTCCCCCCCCCCCCCCCCCCCCCC